TGAAACAAAACTTGTTGTTAAGCGTAGCTATTTTAAAAGAGATCCGTTATGCTTCCGCAAGTTTTTTAAGCTAAGATTCATTTACTCGTAATTTTTTTCAGAATCATCGTATCACGTTGATTTTAGTCTTTATTTAGCTTTTTCGAATGAGCTCTCATTATCATATTTTTGCTCCGAAATCAAGCTTACTTCCCCCTTATGATTTTCCAATATTTGGTGACCTATATCTCGGTCTGCAGGCATTTCCGATCATAGAAAGTGGTATCATTCAATTTTCACCGTCTAGGGGGTATAGAAAACTGGCTATACTTTTGAAACACAATGGAGATTTAAAAATTTAAAATTTTTCTTCCTTGTTACAATATCTGTTCATTTGTCGCTGCAACGGACTTTGCATTTTGCCCCTTGCAGCTAAACAGATTTTTTTTTAAATTTTTACTAAAAGCATTTCTCTCTCTTTAATTATTTATTTTAAAAATATTTTTTCTATTTTTTTTCTTTTTTTTACAATTTTTACAATATTTGTTTATCACGTCCATTCATAATTTTTTAACAATTATACAGCAAAAAATATTTTTTTTATTTTTATTTTTTGAACAAAAGAAAAAAGTTTATTCATCTTCTTAAAAATATATTTAATTTTGAAAATGATTTAAATAAATTATTTATTTACTTTTAATTTATTTTATTAAAATTTTTTTTTTGAAAATTTCACAATTTGATTAAAAAAATTTAAAAAATATTTTGATTAATATTCTAATTTCACTTTATTTTTATTACTAATTTTCGCACTAATATTTTAAAATTATTTTAATATTTTCAATTTAGATAATCCCTGTTCACAAAAATTTATTTAATCACTAAAAGGCTAAAAACAGAGAAACGGTTGATAAACAATTGAAAATCCCAAGATTCCACAAATAGAAACAATTAATTCCTCACTAAGAATCCTTTGACTTGCAACAATCAATCATTCTGTTCCCTCAGTATAATTTTTAAAAATCCCTTCGAACATTTAAACTAACTGAAGTTTTCCCAAACATTTGTTTTTTTCCTCCTTTCTAGTCCTATGACACTTTTTTTGAGTGGGAGAGAACATTAAAATAAATAAAATATTTTAAATAATATTTTAAATATTAAGTAGAAAGAGTTATTATTTTATATGTTGAAGGCGACCTGTTGGCGTTGAATTGATTTTGTGTTGGGGGAAGGGAAGGGAATTAGTTTGTTAATATTTATTTTATTTTTTGCTCTTCTCGTATCATTTTTACAATAAAATGATTGATTACAATTTTCTAATAAAATTCTTTTTTATTTCACAATTTTTGATTCGTTCCAACTTGTCACTTTACTACAAACAATTTTTTGGTCACGCGTTTAGAAAAAATTTTTTCTTTAAATTTTTTTAAAATTTTTTACCGGTTCTAATTGGGTTCTTTTGCACTCAAAAAATGAAAAAATTTAAAGAAAAAATTTTTTTTAGATTTTTATTTTGTGAGATAACGTAAATAATAATTTATTTATTTATTTAATGATAAGAATTATAAAAAAATAAAATTATTAAATTTTTTTTGATTTTGTTTGTGTACATATAAATTAATAAATTAATTTGACAAAAGAATTTAAAATATTTTAATTTAATTAATTTATTATTTTGGTAGAGATTTAATTTTTGCGCAATTCATAACATAAATGAAACCCTTATTTTCGGGCATATTTCAAGTTTTTATGAACGAGACGGTCTATTTAATTTTATTAAGAACAAATTGGTTTTTTAATAACGTTGTTAATAATGAAGTCCATCCTTTACAGGAGTGGACGGAATTGCGAATTGCGGCTACGAATTTTAAAATTAGAATTGTGGGTTATGGCTGCGACAAAAATTTTTTTAATAACGCCTACGCCTGATCCCACCATGATTTTCATTCTTAGAAAATCTGTTGGGTCCATGATTTTAAGATAATTTATTATTAATTTTTAAAATGTTATTTTTATTTATTTTAATATTTTGCCTTCTTTTTATTTAAACTGTTCCCCCAAAACATATTTTAAATGTTTCTTTGCTTTTTATCATTTTACTACATTTTTCCAAAACATTATTTAAATTTATTTCTCTTTATAATCTTTCTTTACTTCCCGTCCTTTAATCATTTATTATTTTAAACTTGATTTTTAGTAAATAAATAGTTTAATTTGTTAGAGTTTGTTTAATAATTTCCTCATTAAATTGAGAGAGTTCAATATAGAAATAAATTTAAGGCCGGGGACATAATATAATCTTTGATCTTCTAAGATAATATGTAAAAGGCGGAAGGTATAGAGAGTGTGCTGCTTATCAAGTTCTTTCGAATAATATAAAATTCACTCGGATTGGATCAAGAATAAGCAGGTTATAGTCGATCGAATCAGACTCACTCTCATTTGCCCCCCCCCCCCCCCACTTGACTAACTTTCACCTTTCCTGTTTTTTTATTTCTGACAGATTTTTTTTCATATTTTTTCATGAGCCCCAGTAATCATAAATAAAATTTAAATTCTTAGAAACTCCATTTTTTGTCTACTAATTTATTCAAAATTTTCAAAAAAAAATAACTCTCCTACTGATTTTTGACCTCCAAAAATTTTATTTTATTTATTTGAATTTTCTAATAAATTAAAAAATGAACAAAAAAATTCTTTTCTACAACAAACATTTGCGCGATTTGCGCATGACAAGTGATTGATTGTAAAATTTAAACAAAATTCCTCTTTAATAAAAATTCTTTTAAAATAAAATAAAAATTCTCTTTTTTTTCTACCAAATTTCAAAATTCATTTTATTTTCCGTTGATAATAATTTTAAATTTATATGTGTTTTCTTAAATTAATTTATTTTTGCAAAAATTAATTTATCTTAAGAAAAATTTTTCTTATTAAATTGCATCAGTTAATTTCATTATATTATTTTTTGATTTTTAATTTTTATTTACTGATTAATTGAAAACATTATCTTATGATTATTACTTAATTGTCTTTTTATAAATGAACAAAGACCGATTTTCCATTTTATTAAGCCCATAAAACTTAATATGTTAAACTTTCAAAGCCCTTGACCCTCTAAATACCTAAATTTATATACCCCATCTACGACAACCTAGTTTAACACAGGGATTATAATTTATGGAATTGGATAAAGTTCCGAACGCTCATGACTCTATTCTCTTCAAGTTCATCAAACGGTACCAAATTTTTTGGATCTTTATTACTTACAGTCGAACTGCTCTACATAGTCATTTAATTTATCTGATTGTTATCTCCATTTGTTCTCATGAATTTTCATTTACATATTTCTTTATACTCTCGTCTCCACATATTTTCTTACTCTCTAAAATCAGTGATTTATTAAAGTTTAAAAATAATAGAAAGTGTTTTTGCAACAAATAAACATTTAAAAATTTTTTTTCTAAAAGATCAAGTTTATTATTCCAATCTTTTTAAATATCCATTTGTTTATCCTCTATCATCTTCTCGAAAATTCTCATTAAAATATTTTTAATAAATATTTCATGTCTCTTTTTTTAATTATTTTTAAATCCCCTTTTTTATCCTTTTTTCGAATTAAAATAATTTTTACAAAAAAATAAAGTTATAGAAAAATTTCTGCACTAAACGTCCTTCACTTGTATTTTTTGCACTAGATGTCCTCTAAATTGTTAATTTATCTCTAAAAAATTTTTTTATCTTGCTATAATTTTGTTGACATTTTTTTTATTTTAATTTTTTAATTTTAATTTTTTTAATTTTAATTTTTTTAATTTTAATTTTTTAATTTTTAATTACCACCCAAAAATTACCAAAAAATATAAATAAATTAATTTTTCTATCAAATTTTGAGAGGACAAAGTTTGTTTCATCATTGTAATAATAACTGGCGTCAAAGACACGTATACCAAACTTCACCCCAAACATTCTTTTATTTACACCCACCCACTCCTTTATATTTTTCCCGATATTTTTCAATATTTTCTTTATTCATTTTTCCTCACTTTTGTTCAAAAAAATAAAAACAATTTAAACATGTGAACATTTAATCAAATAAATAAATTTATTTGTTTAGTTAAAGAAAATTTTTAAGTTTTTTAATTTTTAATATCAAAAAATATTCGCAACAAAAATATTTTTAATAAAATAAATAAATATTTTTATTAATATAATAAAATTGTTGAGAAATATAAATTTATTTTTGCAAAAATTTAAAGAATTTTTATTTAATTATTTTCCTTTATTTAAAAGAGGTTGTGAAAGATTTTTTAAATAATTCAATTTATTAATTACCGATTAAACTTTGATTTTTGAAAGGTTAGGCATATTAGTTGTTATTTCTGAAGCTAAACTTGAAACTTGAAAAATCAGAGTCTAACTTAAACCTAGTGGGTAATAAGACATTAATGTTTTTACAATCTTAAATTTTCCGACTTTACAAACTTAAATTTATTATACCTAAAGTTTCCAACCTGAAATAAACTTTAAATTAATAATAACTCTAAGTTTTCAACTTAAAATAAAATTTGAAACTTATTTAAGTGACTAAACTTTTTCGAACTTGAAAATAAACTTAAAAAATATATTTAAATAAAAGGAAAATAAACTTGGAATATGTAAAACTTTGTTGAGCTTAAACTTAAGTTTTTCAAACCTACTTTAAAGTTTCCAACTTTACCAACACAAAAGTTTCCAACTTATTCATAAAACTTTGTTGTGATATTTTCCATTCTTTTCATTCTTTTTTTTATTTATTTTCACGTTTTATATTTTATTTGTTAAATTAATCATAAGAATTATCATTTTATTTAAGACTTAAAAAATACCTTACATCAGAAATATATTTTTTATTTTTTTTCAGATTTTTATAACGAATAAAATAAATTTTATTATTTATTTACGAAGGCGCTATTTAATTTAAAGTGTTTCTTCATTTTAAATATTTAAATACAACATTTAAATATTTTTGTTAAATAATATACAACAGAAAAATGTCTGGACATAGCGCAGAGGAGGCACAACTTGCTTCTTGCCAGGTTGTTAAAATAAATTAATTAAAGCAGGTTACTGTAGAGTTGTAAATTAAGTTTAATCAGCTTGAAGAAAGTTTATAAGTTTGCAAACTCAAAATCAAGTTGTGTTTAATAAACTTGAAACTTAAAACATGATGTAAAATAAACTTTAAATTAATAGAGCAATTAAAAGTAAAATAAACTTGTAAACTTAAGTTTATAGTAAAACTTGAAAATAAATCAAGTTTTATTTTAAGTTCAAACTTGAAAAAATAAGTTTTTAAAAATAAACTTAGAAGTAAGCATTTATTAAACTTGAAACTTGATTTATATAAAACTTGAAACATTTTAAGAGTAAACTTGAAGCTATTAAAGTTTAAATTAAATTGTTTCAGGCTTATGTGCGTCAACACAATATTCAACAACTTGTTAAAGATGCCATAGTATCTTTATGCATCCATAAACCTGAAAATCCGGTGATTTTCTTGCGTGACCATTTTGATCAGTTGTCAACCGATCAACAAAACTTCTCCCAGGTTTTATTTTTTTTCTTCAAACTATTTTTTCATTTTTTTCTTAAAAATAATTATTTGTTCAGATTTTCAATATATATTTGCTTTTTATGAAAATTTTGACTAGTCATCTTTTTTTATTTTTCAATATTAAAATAATATTTTTGGGTCATAAGATTTTAAACTTTAAAAATATTTTTGTGGCAACACTCACTATTTATCGACAAATATGTAGTTTAAAAAAATTAGGATGTGACTATCTATTTTCAAGAAAGTTGACTGTTTTTTTTAAATTTTTCTTTTCCAATCGGCGTTATAGGAAGAACAGAATTTAATTATATGTAATTTCAACTAGTGTTCGACAAATGGATTTTTCCAATGCCAATACCAGTAGTACCGAAAAGGACTGGTATTGAATGAGTACAGAAAAGTCCAAAATTTCATTAGTACCGTACCCTCTTATAAATATTTACAAATCAATTTTTTTGTGTTATGTTACAGCCCCAAGGATATAAACTTTACTAACGAGTTCTAGTATAAAATTAAAATTACTAAAAGTTACTCATCAAATCTAGACAAATGAGGGAGGGTAAAAATCGTAAACAGCTTTGATAGTAAATATTTTTCATTAAAGATTTATTTATAAATTTTCTAGCTTTACCCCCTCTCTTTCTTCCTCTTATTGTCACCCAATGTTTAAAAAATATTTTTTTTTGATATTTCTCGAACTCGACGACAAAGTCTATTTTCTATGTACAATTTTATTATTTTCTCAACTGGCTCTCCTTTTTCCCGAAAAATCAATCATTTTGGCCCTTTTTAATGCTTTTTGGCTGAGCACTATAGTAGAATATATTTATTTTTATGTAAATACTTAAATATTATTATTCGTCCGATCTGTACCCATTTTGTTGTTTTCTTTTAAAAGTGATTTTTATTTTTTTTTTCATTTTTGAAATATTTTAAATTTTTTATGTTTTATATTTTATTGGAAGGAAATTTGACAAAAATTTGAAGAAAACCGAGAGATTCTTGTAATTTCCACTTACGGTTTCTTTTTTCCGGCTGGGCACATTCTGTCCCTGTATCATTCTCGTTCAGCTTTAATCAAATTTTAACTTTGAACTTTTAAACAAGAGGGAGTCTTGGAACATTATGAACAGTAAAATCGTATCTCAAATCGACTGCATCCATTATTTAAAATATCGCTAAGTTCACACTCTTTTGTTAAACTTTTAAATATGTACATACACCTTAAGTACCCTTCTATATTTACGTAAAATCGAGATCCGATTGAACAAAAATTTTGCAGAAATCTTTTGCGAGATCTCATTCATTTCCCAAAAATCCATTTTTTAATTTTCTTCTTCCCTCTAAATAAATTCATTTGTCCCATTCTTTTTTTTCTTCTTCAAAACATTCTTTTCGCCTTTCTAAAATTAATTTAATACTTCCCACACTTGTCTGACTCTAAAAGTGCATTAAAAGTTTAGCACGCTTATCCAGGATTTTCTTTTTTTATTATTTTATGCATCAAAATCGACCCATTTACAACTGAAAACAAGGAAAAGAAAATGGATTTTATAAAAATTAAAAATAAATGAGGTTGAGGAATTTGGGCGAAATATTGTAGGAAATGAAGAGAGACACCAGACACGTTAGAGAAAAGATTTTTATAATACCTCACTTTTGTGGATGTGTGTGAGTGCCTATTTGATTAATATAAATATTTTTACATGTTCACGCTACATTCGAGAACAACATTTGCACATTTTCCCGGCTGTCACCAATACTCCTGCCAGTCTTCTCTACTTTTCTCCACACACTTGTTGTCTCATTCTCTCTCATTTCTTGGCCGTGCTTTTCCTTCCGCTTTTCTTTTTTTCCTCACTTTATAGTTCATTCTTCTCTTTATACTAAACTTTATACAACATTCCTCAATAGCCAAAAATTCTTTTTTTTCCTTTTTTTTAAGCCAACTCATTCTCCATATCCAAAACTTATTCTCTCATCTCTTCACTAATATCCCTCTCAGTCTCTTCCCTTTCTCTTCTCTTTTTATACTCTTCTAGCTTCTTCCCACTATATTTCCCCATTTCTTTTGTCTTGGTCGAGAGCCTATATTTCCACATTCCTCCTCATTCCTTTGGCCACTGACACAAAAACCATCGGCTGTCGAACTTTTATAGCTCATTCCACCATCCTAGCACCAACCTCTACACTTCCCTCAGTTTTTTCATTTCCCTCATCTCTCATTTTTATATAGAGCTCCTTTATCATTTAACACGGAAAGTGACGCTCCAGAGCGATACTTTGCGACATTGTGATTATTTTTGGATTGTTCTACTTTGAAAGGAATTCCTTTAGGAATTTCTCCCATAAAAATTTTTTTCTAAAAAAATTTCTTTAATTAATAAAAAATCACTGTACCATTCATTTATTTTATGGAACACAGATGGGGAAAGTTGCCAAAAAATAAAATTTAAAAATTTATTTAAAAAATACATTTTCTCTTTTATTTTTTTATTCAAAAATTCGCGCCAAAATAACCCACACCCTTCCCTCCCCTCCCTCCCCCCTCCCTCTCTTCTCAACTAAACATCCATTCCTGAAAAATACACACAGCTTTTCATTCTCCATGAGAGGAAGGAAAAGAAGGAAAAAAAATATTTTTTTTATTTTTTTTATTCTTCTCGGCCATAGCTTTTTCTTTAACTCCCGAGACAACATCCTCCTCTCCTTTCTTCGCTTTGCAATTAGTAGTGATGGTCGGGAGTTAAAAAAGCCGAGAGTCGGGAACCGAGACCGAGACCGGGAATCAACCCCGAGACCGAGTCCCGGGTCGAGACCGAGAGTCGAGACCAAGAGATTAGGAGGGATATCACTTGAGATTAGGGCTCTTGTCCAGTTTATGCGTCCCATGAAAGTATATGCGTCCCATCAACAAAAAATTGAATATTTCTTGGTGTTGCAAAGTAGGGGTATGGTTCCAAAGCATTTCTTCATGTTCGGGATCTACGTCCACTGGGTCTGGGACCGTTCCTTACCCTATACCTCGAAATTTCTGAAAGTTAAAATCGTTTTTCTGAAATTTGTAAAAATTGGCTATAACTTTCAGAAATTTCGAGATACAGGGTAAGGAACGGTCCCAGACCCAGTGGACGTAGATCCCGAACATGAAGAAATGCTTTGGAACCATACCCCTACTTTGCAACACCAAGAAATATTCAATTTTTTGTTGATGGGACGCATATACTTTCATGGGACGCATAAACTGGACAAGAGCCGAGATTAGGAGGGATATCACTTGATCCTTTATAATCCTATATCCCTATATATCCTTCATAATCCCTCAAATCCCTTGAATCCACACATCCACAATATAACTTTACTCCTCCTAAATCTACCGATATCCACCTTAATCCACTGATATTCCCATTAATCGCTTTGAATCCCCTTATTTCCCTCGATATCCCTCCAAATCTAACAGTATTTTCCCAACCCTCGAGTACCACTCACAAGTCCCTTTATGTTTACTTTAATCCTTCCAAGTTTCCAGATATCCCTCTTAATTTTAATATAGCCTCTATAGCCTTTCAAATCCCAATAAGCTCCGATATCCGACAAGTCCATTGATACCCCTAATAGTTATGGCCGTATACGATAATTCTTGTATTTTTTAAGGTTTTAAGCTATAAATCCTTCAATTTCATTCATTTTCTGCGCCGCAGGCGAAGATTTTGAGAATTTTGGAGGTCGTGAAGCCAGATTTCTCCCATTTTCTCACCGCAAGTGAGGATGTATTGTGTGGATTTATGCGCCGCAGGCGAAAATTTTGGAAAATTCATGATTAAATTAAAATTTTTAATGTCTTTTCAAGTTTAAAATATTAAAAAAAATAAATTTGAAATCAAAATCAAAATTAAAAGACTTTTATTTTTGAAAAGAAAAATTTTTCAGCCTCAATTCCACCCCTGGATTCGAACCCAGAACTAACAAAATAACTAAGTGCTTGAAGTCAGTCACACAACCACTCAACCATCGAACAACAAAAGAAAAATGGGAGAAAATTAAATATTTTTTTCCTTTTTCCTTAAAAAATTTAATGCTAAAGTGCGCGAGGTACGAGTAAAATTCAAAAAATTTCCGTCATTAGGGGTGTAAATTTAGTCTCGTTTTCCGAGACTAAAACACCGAGACCGAGACCGAGAGCTCAAAAAACCCGGGAAATTTCCCGACTCGGGAACCGAGACCGGGAATCCCGACCATCACTAGCAATTAGGCAAAAAATATTGAGAAAAGAGCAGCTAGTTGGACAAATGAGGAGAAAGAAAAAATGTTGTTAAATTTACCAATAATTATTCTCTTGACCTCTTTTTTTTGGATGCTTTTATTTTTTTATATTTTTTTTGCAAATGACATATAGTAGATAAAGAATGGGGAGTTTTGTGTTAATTAATTTAAATTAATTAATTGAATGTACAAAGATGAGAGAAAATTAATAGACTTTTTATATTTGATAGGGATATGAAGAGTCGTAATCTCTCCAAAAAATCATCCCTGTAAATTAATTCCAAAACCTCGGACTTCTCTTTTAGTCCTTTAAGAGAAATCTCTATTTTAAGTAAGTCTTAATTTATTATTTATCTTTATTTTTTATTTTTTATCAGAAGTCTTAATTTCTTAATTTAACTTCTTTTAAGCCCTTAAGACTTCTCTTAACTTCTCTTAATCCCCAAAAAATCTGGTTTTTTGGACGAATCCTAGAAAAGCCGATTCTTGTCCGTTCAAATTCCAACTGTTTATAAGGAATAAAAAAAGATTTAATTAATATGCATAATTAAAGAAATTTACATAAATTTTTCTCTAACTTAAAAATTTTACAAAGTCTATACTTTCTTGGGAATTCTCAACATAGAGAGTTTCCTATTTTTATTAATTCGAAATACTAAATTCATCATTTTAATTGGGACATAAAACAAAATTCTCAACGCTTTTTTAATGATAAACTTTTTGTTACATTTTTAATTGTAAATGGATATATTCGTTTTTAGCCCCTCATGGGGCTTAATCTATTATATAAATTCTCTCTATATTTTAACAAAAAAAACATTTCCTCATCAATCCATCAACCAATTTATATACTCAATAAATATATATTGTCCTCAGAATTTTCTTTTAAACTTTTTCTTTTTTTCATTCTATTTTATTTTTAAACTTTTTTGTTTAAATATTTATTGGACCAACAGGTTCACCCCTTATTTTTAATATTTTTAATCTCTTTCTGGGGGTAAAACTCTAAATTTACTTTACCCAAACCTATATTTCCTAGTCTATAAATCAAATTTCTTAAAATATTTTTTATGGCTTTTCTCAATAATTTAATTTTTAGATTATTTAAAATATTTAAATTAAAAATAATTAAATATTTTCTTTGGTGCTAATTATATTTTATAAAAACAATACTTCTACTTTATAATAATAATTTATATGGTCCATTTGTTTATAAATCCTTTAAAACATTAACAAACAACAACATTAGATAAACTTGAAACAAACAAGTTTTATTAAAGTTTGTTTATAAAAAATGAAACAACTTGCTAAATCAAGTTTACAAACTTGAAAAGCTTAAATAAAGTTTTAAGAAGAAAGTTTTACAAATTGTAAAAAAAAGTTGGTTAAATATAAATGCAACTTTTTTTGCTGCAATAAATAACAATTCTAAGTTTATTATTTTCCTTTGAAGCAACATTTATTTATACTGCCAAGTTTATTTATTTTCTTTTTTGTTGCTTCAAAAACTTCAAATAAAATTTTTCTGCTTCAACAAATCATGGGGCAAACACTTCGTCGATTAACTCGTCGTAATCAAAACCAGTCAATAACCTCCACAGCCTCAACTACTACAGCCCCAGAAGTAAATCAAAAAAAGAAAAATGAAGATGAGGGTGTTGCTTCTGAAGCAAAAACAGTCGAGAAACAATGTCCTTCTTCTATACCTACAACATCTAAAGAAGAAGTAAAACAACAAGAATCAACGTCAAAATTGCCGGGAAGGAGTGTAATGATTTTTAAAAATTAAAAAAATTTTCCTTTAATATTTGACAAGCTACTACGAGCTTTATTAGAAATCTCGTAGTAGCGAATGCATTAAGTGCTGAAAAATCATAATACATCCACTAAGATGTAGAACTACCAAGGCATCTCCTACTAACCGACCAGCTTAATTGAATTGGAGTTTTTTTCAAAATTTTAATTCTCCTTAAAATTTATTAGAATTTCTTGAAAAACTATTTAATTCTCAAATTTTATCTCTTAAAAATTATTTTAGTATTTTTTAATTTTTACTCGAAAAAATATTTTTAATAATTTCCCATAAGTTTTCCATTTATAAAATTCAAAAGTTGTTTAAATAAATAATAAAATTTAGAAATAAAAAAAGTTGGGAATTAATTTGAATTAAGGTTGTCAAGAGCTTTTACGTAGAGTATTTAATAAATTCATTTAATTTTTCTAAAAGCTTAAAAAATCAATTTAATGGATTAATTTTTTATTTCATAATTTTTAAATAATATTTAATTATTTTTCCTTTCTAAAATTATTTTTCTTAAATATTTTTATATTTAAAATTTAAAAGAAATTAAAATTTTCTTATAAAAATTTTTTGACTATTTTTTGACCTCATCCCCTAAATTTTATTTTCAGAGTTTTTGTAATTCTTGAAAAATTTCTATAATTTTTTAAAAATATTTTTTGATTTTCGATTTTAATTTTTCCATTTTATTTTTAATTTTGTATTCATTTTTTTTTGTTTCAATCAAGAAAGCTTATTGAGTAAAAATAATGACTAAAATAAGAAAAAATAAAATCAATTATGTATTTAATCATTAATTAAATTAAAAATCATCATTCTCTCATTTATTTTTATAGGAAACAGTCCATTCAGTTCCCGACGAAGACGACACCCTGGAAGAACCTCCACGTCTCCCACAAGGCAATCGCCGCCGATTGGGCGTTTCTGCCGAAGTTCCAGATGAAAATGAAGCCGCGAATTACCAACGAGTAGTTATTCCTAAAGATGATGACACACAAAAAGCTTTGAGACAGGCAATGTGCCGAAATGTTTTGTTTGCCCATTTGGATGTTGATGAACAAAAAGGTTATTTGGGGTGAAAATTCCAAGTCTTTTTTCCTTTAGAAATTATCTTGAAAAAGATTTTTAAGAATTCATTTAATAGAAGGGAGCTTACATTTAGATAAATAGAACCGCTATAGAAAAAACAATTCTTATTCATTCCTTTCTGGATTTTCCCTACTTTTAATCTCCTCAAACAATTTGCACTTGAGAACAACCCAGAAATAATTTACAGCTTCTCTCGTTTTACTTTTATACACTTTTCATGTCACTTAATTATTAACCATTCAAAATTTCCACGAATTTTTAGAGAGTTCTAATCCTCTATTAAAAATAAATTGTCAGCCTGTGCGCTTCTGATTATTCACAATTGTGTCTGAGTTAAGGGAAGAATAAATATAATTTCCCATATTAAGCAATATAAATAAGAAACACATACTAAGAAGTATAATGTAATTTTGCATATTAAGTAATTTTATAGAAAAAAGAACAATGATATTTACTCTTTTATTCCATTCCTATACCATCTTCCCTCATAAAAAATTTAAAAATTTTTATTTTTTCAGCAATTTTCGATGCAATGTTTCCAGTAGAGAAGAAAAAGGGAGAAATTATTATTGAACAAGTAAAAATAAAAATTCAAAAAATTTAAAAAAATTAAAAAAAAATAATTTAAGGGAGAAGAAGGAGATAATTTTTATGTAATCGAAAGTGGAGAAGTTGATTGTTTCGTTAATGGGGAATTTGTTCTCTCAGTTAAGGAAGGGGGTTCTTTTGGTGAACTTGCCTTGATTTATGGAACTCCACGTGCTGCTACTGTTGTAGCTAAGGTTCTTATAATTTTTATATACATCCTCTTTGAGTGGGTTATCAAGACAAGGGTTTCCGAGACAAAATGAGAGGAGGAAATCAAAATTAAATTTTGAATTGATAGGGGAAGGAGAATGAGAACCTCATTTACTCGAAAATTTAAATTCGCATTTCTTTTAAAGACCGCAACAGTCAAACTTTGGGCTATTGACCGACTCACCTATAGAGCTATTTTAATGGGATCTACAATGCGCAAAAGAAAAATGTATGATGAATTTTTGTCAAAAGTTTCAATTCTTGCCGATCTTGACAAGTGGGAACGTGCAAATGTTGCTGATGCTTTGGAGCAATGCCAATTTGAACCTGGAACTAGAATTGTTGAACAAGGTTGGTTTTTATTTGAATGAATATTTATTTTAAATTATGGTGTCTTGACATGGTATAGAAACGTTGGGCTTAAACTTTACTAAAAATATAAAAAATTGCTTAATATACAAAATTAAATGTATTTTTTATTTAATTTAAATATTTTATTTTAACTTTAGTTAGGCGAATAGGATAATTTTTGGGCCGGGAGTTCTGCAGGACTCCCTAAATTAGTTTAAATGAAATTGAGAGATACAAGAAGCTAAAACATTTATTTTCGGTTTTAGTTCATATTGGCTATGAGCCAGTACAAATGTTAGCCCCTTAATTTCCATTGTATTTGTGCTGTCCTACATATTATTTATGAACAAATGCACTGATTGTATATTTTCATTTAATTTATGACCTTGGACCGTTCTTTTTGGGCTGTCAAAAACTTAATTTCCGATATAAATTTTGTATTTATATCAATTTAATTAAAGGCCAACCCGGAGATGAATTCTTTATAATTGTTGAGGGAGAAGCCGAGGTGCTACAACGGCCAAATGATGATGCCCCATACGAAGTTGTTGGGAAATTGGGTCCTTCTGATTATTTTGGTAAAGGATTGCCGAAAATAAAAATTTTATAAAAAATTTTTAAGGCGAAATTGCTCTTTTATTGGATCATCCTCGTGCAGCAACCGTTGTGGCTAAAGGGCCCCTTAAATGTGTAAAATTGGATAGAGCTCGATTCGGTTAGAGTTTTATATTTTGGAAAATGTATTGTGAATTTTATTTTGTTACCATATTCCAATTTTGGCTTTACTTCTCGTATATTTAATTTAATTTAATTTAATTTATTGAGTAAACCACAAAGTACATAAAAAAGTACAATTATAGTGGTAAAATAAAAAATAAATTTTTAAAATACTATAAGAAAATGTCATAATAAATTTATAAAAAAATGTCAATCTAGGAGGATAAGGGAGTTGCGAACTAAAACCTCTATTTTATAAAGTTATTAACAAGTACTCTAAATTTTTGCGAATTATATGTTTGTAAAATTTCATTAGGTAAGCTATTCCAGTTATTTATGATTCTATTAAAAAAATTATTTCTAGTTTTACCGTTAAACTTTTTGTTCCTTAAACAAAATATTTTCCTTTTAGCTTTTACTGCAAAATCAAAGTATTTTTGTGGGTCTAGATGCGTCTGTTTTGAAATAATTTTGTGCGCCATTACAAGATCGGCTACTTTTCTTCGATGGCTTAGTTGTTTTAGTTTGAATTTGTTAAGTCTTTGTTCATAAGGTAGTGGCGTTATTCCTGTGATTTTTAATGCTCTTCTTGTAAAATATTTTTGTACTCGCTCTATTTTATTAATTTGAAGAATTCTGTTTGGGTTCCAAATTTCAGTGGCATATTCAAGTTGAGGACGAATATAAGATTTATATACATTTATTAAAGTCTTAAATTCTCTAGTTTTTAATATTCTTAGTATTTGATAAGTTATAAAGTATGAATTTTTAACTATTTTATCAATATGTTTGTTAAATTTTAAGTTGTTATCAATTAGGATACCTAAGTCTCGTACGCAATCTGATGTGTTTAATGTTTGATTAAATATTTTATATTCCTGTTTAAGGTTTCCTTTTCCTATATAAAGTATTACACATTTCTTAATTGATATTTCTAAAAAGTTTGATATAACCCAATTTTGTAATATTGTTATTGATTCATTAAGATAATTAATATTAGAATCATTATTATGTGAAATATAAAGCTTTATATCATCTGCATATATTTTATAGCCTATTTCTTTTGGAAGGTTGACAGGGAAATCATTAATAAAGATTGTGAATAAAATAGGTCCCAAAACACTGCCCTGGGGAACACCTGAATATGTATGAAAAGATCTTGAAAACGAGTCATTTATTTTTACACGGTAGGATCGTCCTGTTACAAAATGCTTTATGAATTCAAAAATTTTTCCAGATATACCAGCATTTTTAACTTTTGTAAGTAATAAATTTATTGGAACTGTGTCAAAAGCTTTTTTTAAGTCTTTATCTTTAAAATATTCTTTATCCCGAGATAGCTTAATTTTCAACTGAAATCCATTCTTTATAGTCCCTCCTAGCAGGATCCGGTTCTAGACGTTACCACGGTATTACCGAAAATACTGAACCAGATATCGAAAATATCCATCTGCTCACCGGTAGTCCCTTTGGAATATAAGATAACCCTTCAGACAATTTTTTAAAAGACGGACAGCGCTACTTTTTATTTTTCTTGTACCATCCTTCTAGTATTTTAAAAAGATTTTTTTGAAGATTTGAAAATATCCAAGTTCTGATTTATCCTAATAAAAATTTAAAAAAATTAATATTATTTAAACTTTAAATTATTTTAAGAGCGTGTTATGGGCCCGGTGCGTGAAATTCTCAAACGTGATGTTAGCCATTATAATTCTTATGTGAAGGTAAATTTTTGAATTCTTTTTTAATTAAAAAAATAATTAAAGTTGATGACCTAAAAAATTCAAAAAAATCAGAGAGGAAAACACCCAAAAAATGCTAAAATATTCTTGCTGTGGCAATTTTGAATGAATTTATATATAAATATTTTTTATTATTTTTAAATTAAGAAAATAGCTTGAATTTTAATAATTATATATCAAAAAATTTTAATATTTTTCACGTTGTTTGTGAGCTAATTTTGTGTGTAAAATGATTAAATTTCTAATTTTTTTTCTAAAAATATTTTTGTGTACATAGTATACAGTGCTGTTCAAAATTATAAGCGCACTTGAAAAAATTGTATAACTCGGAACTGGGTTATCCAAACATTATCAAATTTTGAATTAAAATACTAAAACGTATTAGACGTATTTAGATGTCAGTGTGTCCAAGAAACAATTTTATTAGTGTTCATAACGGTAACAAAATATGCAGAAATAAATTCTTTGTTGAGGAAACATGTTTAAATTTAAAATCTCGAAGTTATTAAATTATTGGCGTAATCTTGGTAAAATTTATTCATTTAACTTTAAAATTAAATAAAAGGCTACATTATTTGCATTATTGCAAATTATTCATTCAAATAATAATAAAATTTAAAGACCTAGAAAAATTCTTAAAAATATATTTAAATAAGAGGAAAAAACGCAAAACGAATCTCCAATACTCCTTTTGAATTGTTTTCACTTTTGTTCTTTTTGTCCTCATTAATTGTGTCTAACGTATTCTAATTTGTTTTGAAATTCTTATTTTTTTAAAATATTCAAATTTTTCAAAAAATTCCGATTTTTAAAATATTCCATGATTGTTCCCTGACCTGTCTGTTTCTTGACTTGTCTGTTCGTTGACTTGGTATTCCTTGAGTTAGCCCCCACCCTAAATAATATTGCCTAACTTTAATAAGAAATAAAATGGAGGAACAATCCAAAAAGATGAGAAAACTATTAAGGTTATTTTAAATATTCTTTGGAAAAATGCCCTTAAAATATATTGAATGTCTATATAAAAATATAAATAAATAAAAATATTAAATATTAATGCATTAAAAAATAAATTTTTGATTAATTAATTCACTAAAATAAATTTATTTTTATTTGAAGAAAAAATATATAAATATAAGGCATCATAAATGGGATTTGATTTTCACTTTTTATCTACTAATTGAAATATATTTTCAATGTCTATATATAAATATAACTAGGGCTCCCATTTATATGGAAATCCATATTTTTTTCCTGAATTCCTATGACTGTGAAACGTACAAAAAACATGTTTTTGGCTTGTTTTAGGGTTTCTAGAATGGTCTTTAAAATCCATATTTGCCATATTTTTCCATATTTTGGCATTATACCCATATTTTTCCATATTTAGCCTTCATGTCAATATTTTATATCAAAATTTCTACTTTTTATAATATTTTGGTCCATATTTGGTCATTTTTTGGTAAATTTTATTAAAAATTGGCGAAAATTTTCAAAATTTTGAAAATTTTTGGTCAAAAAATTTATTCGAAAGAATTTATTTTCGAAAAAATTTTAACAAAAATTATAAATCCATAAAAGACTCTATACCCTCATTAAAAGAACTTCAGCTTCAAAGTAGGGTTCGACACGTTAATTATTCACGCTGTGTTATCGAAAATACCGTCTCGGTATTACCGATATAGAAATATCCATTTTCTAAACTATTTTGATATTTTGTAGAGAGGTCCGACTATATTTTATACAACAAAATATTTTTAAATATCTAAAAAATGAAACAAAAATTAAAACAACGTAAAACAATTCCAAATGAATTATTACTGGAAATAATTAAATCATATAATTCTGCTTATTCAAAACAAATATTAGAACACATGGATATTAAACAAATATTATTTAGTTTTAAAAATTCGATTTCTTCTTCTAGCTTGTTTTATAAAAATTCTGGGGAAATTTTTAAAGAAAAAAAGGTTGATTTAAATAATATTATGTATATTTAAAAGTTATAAAAAAATTTAAATTCATTTTAAAAAAAGCTTTAAAATTAAAGTTGTAATAAATACAATATCTCTATTAGAACTGAATTTCTAATATGGTATAATATTACGAAAATAATAGTTTGAATGTAGCCCCCCCCCTTTATTTCCCTTTCCCTAACCATTTTAAGCTTTCTTTTTTTATATATAATTTTTATATATCATTCGAAAGAGCTCTTCGCGCCAAAATTTTTCAAATAATTGGCTTATCTCAAATAATTAACCCGCCTCTATTTATTACCCCTCGAGTGAGAGATCAAAACAATAATTACCTAGGAACAATAATTACCCCATTGAAAATAAGTACCGTAAATTATCTCATTCATAGAGCCCTTGCGAAACTCAATCGTTTCGAGAAAAGGCTTTAATTACGTTTAAAGGATACATATACATATTTGACTAAGGAGCCGAACTTTAATTATTCGACTTCTACCAACTATATTTGAAAATAATAATTATTTATTTTTAAAAGAATTTAATAATTGGAGACTATATTCAAATAAGAAAGTTGTATATTGAAATGAAGGCGGACAATTCGAGATTGTTTTCTCAAGTTTGGTGGTTGTCGATGTATCGTGTTTTTGCTTATAGTCGTAGTCTTGGTAAGTACATACATAGGTACTTTTCCGTTTTGTTACACCCCCATATATTAATGCTCAAAATGTCACATATAAGGTAATAAAAGGTGCTGAGTCGAACGGTACCTTTCCTTTTCCCAGTAGATGTCTGTGGACCGAGATATTGTATATTGAATTGAAGGCGTTGAAATGGTCAAAAACCCAATGGTTTTTGACCATTTCAACGAAATCTGATTTCATTTGACCGAGATTCAGGTCCCTGAAAATTGAAGAACCACACAATTTGTTGTATCGTAACTTGGTCAAAACTTGTTCGAAGACGGTGATTTTGGTGTCATTCAACTCAGTTTGTCGAGCTCTTTCGAATGAGTTATTATTTGCATATTCGAATTTTTTACCACAAAATGGCCCAATGGTTTTTGACCATTTCGAGCCCTTTATCTCGGTTGACAGACATCTCCTGGGAAAAAAGAGGAAAAATATTTTATAAAATAGAAAAATTATTTTATAAAATGCGAGCTTTTTTATTATTCACCGAGTAAATGACAATGATCAACAGAAAACGTACCTTTCTAACAGAAAGGATAAATTTATAAACCTCATAATCAACTAGAGTTGGCCGGTATCGGGATCCCGACCGGTATCGGGCGGTATTATACCGGTTTTTTTGAATCCCGATAACGATTTTTTTGATACCGACACCGAAAGACAAATCCCGATACCGTTTTTGCTGATACCGAAACCGAGGCCGGTATCGGTATCGGTATCGGGATTAGCGTCGGATACCGACAAAATACCGATTTTGTAAATATTTTTTAACACCCCTAAGGATTGATTTCTCATTTTTTATATGGACGAAATTAGCCGCATGGCCTTCTAAAATTCTCAAAATTTTCGCCTGCGGCGCTGAAAATGGAAGAAATCTGGCTTCTTTGTCTTCAAAAATTTTCAAAATTTTCGCCTGCGGCGCTGAAAAAGTGAATTTTTTGACCTACGGCCTTCTATAATTCTCAAAAATTTCGCCTGCGGCGCTAATAAAGGAACAACTCTGGCCTATTGACTTTACAAAAATCTTAAAATTCCGCCTTCGGCGCTTCTTGACCATAAAATTTTCGGAATTTTCGATTTTGGCGCCTCCAGTGAATAAAATTTTGGCTTAAAAATTAAGTAGTGTTTATTAATGAAACACAGTTGTTTTGTTAACGAACGAAGCCTAATTTAAAAAAATGTTTTATGCAGGTCTGGTCCCATATTGAGGGATATCATTCGATTATCGGAGGTATCCCTAGTACTCCCAAAATGTCTACCGATATCCCTCCTAATCACCAAAGTTGATTTGAGGTATAAAGTTGAAGTTGGAGTATAACCGTGGATGAAGATGATATCGGAGGATTAAATGGATATCGGTGGATCTGGAAGGTCTTCTTCTGTTCCTGAGATGTTTTTGTCTCGAGAATAGCTTTATAGTGATAATTTATCATTTTACTACTGATTAAAACCTTTTTAAAATGAAGAATGAATTTATTTATTAAAGAATTTAGTTATTTTTTTCATATTAAAATTTTTTTAGGAAATACCGATACCGATTTTTAAATCCCAATCCCGAGTCGGTATCGGTACCGGTATCGGTATCATTAACTCAAATCCCGATACCGGTTTCGGCCAATACCGATCCCGAGGTCGGTATCGGTATCATCATTCCAAAATACCGATACCGATTTTAGGTCGGGATCCCGATACCGGCCAACTCTATAATCAACCTTAACTTATACAATGGGCACTGTCTGCTGAGGGGTACAATTACTATTACGAACAAATTTATCAATTAAAATCATTTACAATTTACAGGTCTATTCAAAGGAATTTTTTGGCTGTCAATGTATTTGTCATATGTAATTGTTGTATGTACCACTGCTCTGTTAATTCTTGTTTTAGCTATCATTCTGCTTATTATTCCATTAATTCTTGTTAATTCTTTCAATCTTTTCTTCATTTACATTTTTTGTGGAATGCCTAAATTTTTACATTCAATCAAAAACTTTCTCTACAATGATATTGATTCTATTCAGTGGTATAAAGTAAGTCTGTGGTGGCTAGTGGACAGTAGAATTAAAGATTTGAAAAGATTAGAAAATTTGAAAAGATATCCTCATACTCCCTTTTCCAGACAGGAACAAACTAATATTTGACGTTGAAAAATCAAATATTTGATCTAATTTTATTTGATAAAAATATTGTTACTATAAATGAAATAAAAATTCTATGAACATTTCCATTGACATATAGTATAAAAAAGAACAAAGTCTTTAACTGCTTCCTTCATTGAGATCTCAAATCTCAAAAATCAACGGGAAATCGGGGTACAGTACTACAAAAAATA